AGGCCCTTTGGAGAACACATGCTCTTCAATTCAGGGGCTTGGGGGGACGAGGATTTTGTGCAGTTTCTGCTATTTCAATAAATACGTGTCATAAGCTTGAAAATTGAATGGAGCCTTATGACGAGAGAAGAATACTAACGTACTTTTTGGTGCTTAATAATTTTATTTTAATGGTGGTTTCTTCACAGAATATATTTTAAGAATAATTTTATTGAAATCATTATTATCTCAATTTTTTCAGATACTGCACTCATCCCACCTTTCCAAGCCCTACACTTAAGGGGATTATTTCCAACCATTAGTTTTCGATTCGGTTCATTTTAGCTACACCCTCCATATGAAGCAGTGGGTCTTTTGCAGCTGTTTTTTTTTTTTTCTTTTTTTTTCTTTTTTTTTCTGTACCATTGTAGGCATCGGCGTACTCTCGCAATGCCTCATGGGCTTTTCTCTACACTTTGTTTTGCGGGAAAATTCGATTTTTTTCATTAGTCAAGGCACCAATATTCGTGGCTGTCTCTAATTGAACTTTGTAAAATTGTTGCGACGCGACGCAAGCAAACTGAATGCATTGCGGATATTTTTATCTAGGTACATTGAGTACCTCAAATTGCGGTTCGGAGTTTCATTTATGATGTTAAAAAAATCTAAAAATTTCGTCTACTGTAATTGGCCCGCCATTTCTTCCCCTCTTTCTTCTTATTCCTCTTCTTCCGCTTCCTGCTTTTCCTTTTCTTCTTCACCCCCTTCATCCTCCCCTATTTCCTCTAGTTCTTTCTCCTGCAGCATATCATCCAACGGTTTTAAGTTAACTTTATTAAGTCAATTAATTGTTATTCTTCCTCTGCAATTAACGAAATAGTTGTCTATATTCATCCATGCAGACAGTAAAAGCAAGTATTGCATGAAATATTTTTAGGCAGGTAAGATTTTACTCAAGGCACATAGGGTAAACTTACGAAGATTTTACGATATTGCTTTAAATTATCGATTGACTTCAAAGAAACTACTCAAAATTTTAATTGAAAAACCAAAATTTTAATTTTTTCGCTGCTTGGCCCATTGTGCACCGGTCATTGAGAACGGAGACGCACAGACAGAGATACGGATTACGGCATAGCATACGGGCTGCAGTGTGGCAGCAGGGCAAGGCGGTAACTTCGGTTCAGCGCCCATTACACTGTCGAAACCTCCATTTCCGAGTTCATTGCGTAAGTTGTCTCCGGTCTCCCTTTTGCACCAACCCAGCCTCGTCACTGGTTTTGTCCCGACAGAATATGTGGATCGAGTTTAGCATAAAGGAACCAATTTCTTTGGAAATAGAGGTTTCTATCTTTTTTTTATTTTTTATGAAGAAAAATTCTCATCTCAAGATTTCAAAGTAAACCGCAGGAGCTTTTTCACTTATTTCTGACCAATAAACTCAAATTTGTTGCAAAATTCGTTCTAATTTTGATTTTTAATGACTTGGTTCCTCTCTTAAGAATGCTGTAAGACTTCATTTTACTTTGAGAAGGGAACCAGATGCACAACTTATTCCTCATCCGATTTCTCATTAGCATAATCAATTGAACTGCATTTATAACAACATAGTTGGACTGAAAAGAAGGAGCAACTCAATAACTTTGTTTTAAAAATTTCGCAACTTCTTTTTTGCTGAGATATTTGTAAATTACCTAATAAAATTTACATGACTCTCCAAAGTCAACAATATTTTTGTAGAAAAACAAAAGCTTTTCGATATTTTATGAATTTACTGCCTAAAAATACCGTTGACTTTGCAACAGATTCTCGGATTTGAATCCCATGAAATAGGATCAGATTAGATTGCCACTCAATTCATGTTTTAAATGAAGTAAGAAAATCGTGCACTATACAGTGTTTGACATGATTCTGAGTCCAAAAAAATTCTGTGCTAAATGAGCAAATGACGGGAGAAAATGCTGACTTCGGACAGAGGGAAAAAACTCGATGCCCACTTTTCCATGAATTAAGGCAAGCTATTTATAAACTAACTCGAGGAAAATATTATTTCCTGGAGTTTAAAACACTCTAACCGCGTTCCAGGCGAGTTGCGCCTGCATTGTGAATTTTCATGGAATGCCAAACATCGGTAAATACTTTTCGATCATTTTAGCACAGAAAAATTGCAACGCTCGGTGATTGGTCACGTTATTTTTTCCCCTTCTTGGACCCTCTCCACTCCTAATTTGAAACCCATTTAATCCAACAAGATGAGGACAGGCGGTTTTTTGTGGCGATTTTATTCGATTTGTATACAGTGATTCTTCCTGAGAAACTCATGAATCGCTTCAAGCATGAAACCGGTATCTTTGTAAGAGTGCCATAGAAATGACAATACTCTCTCTGAATAAGTACTTTAGTAACAATACCATTCAATAAACCATTGAAAAACTCGTTAATCTTATAAAGATAAATCTGAAAAAAAATTGTTACAATTTTTATTTTAGGAAACTCTTTTCGGGTATTCTTTCAGTGAAATTTACAAGAGGTAAAATTTGAGTAACAGAAGCCCAAAACCCCCTTTTAAGATTTATTGCAGCTTTTTAGGACTCAAAATGTTTGAAAATGTGAACAAACTAATTTTTGCTGTTTGTGAAGACTTTTTAACATAATTTTAATAGTCGTGAATTTATTTTTAAAAAATATCTACAAGTGGTCTCCTAAATCAAAATTTTGAACAGATTTTTTTAGATTTTTTGAAGAAGGTTTGTATCAGTCGTTAGTTTGCGAGTATTGTATTCTGATCAGTCCAAGTGGAGCGTTAAAGATCATTTCCAATCGGAATTTGGCAACGCTGAAAATGGTGGGATTGTCGGAGTCGAACACGGCAAATCAGCAAAGCGTCTAGCAGACAAGCGCGGTGCCAGTCGCTGCTCCTCGCTCCAGTTTCCGCTCCACCAACGCCACAGTTACCAAATCGTGCGCGAGACCATGGTGAAAATTTCGGTATTTTCGAACTACATGTGGCAGCCTTGCCTTCACCGGTTTCAGTCCACTGATTTTGGCTGGTCTGACTCGCGGATCTGCGCATCTTGCCCGAGACAGTTGCGAAACTCCCGAACTGAAAGTGAGGGGAGAAGGGTGGGAACATGGGCCATGGCTCCCCAGTTACCGAAGAAGGCAGTAACGCCCAAATTCCCGACATCGAGCTTCCTTTACATTGCGATGAATCTAATTTTAATGAAGTAACTGGTTCGGTCAGAACGGAAAAATGTGTCTTATCTGTTAAAAATGAGAGTTAACACTGAAAAAAAATTCTCGGCGTTTTTACCAAGGTCCGTTGCTACCTTTACCATCTCACTTTTTTTACCAATTATTGGTAATTTTACCAAGGCAGACTGGTAAGCTTACCTAAAAACCGGTATTTTTACTGTTTTTTTCAGGTAAGAATGCCACTTTTATTGGTAACCAATTCCCGGTAACTTTGCCATTTTATCTCGGTAATAAATTCTACCACAGTCGATAAAAAATATTGGCGTTTTTACCAAGGTCCAGTAAAATTACCGAGAAAGTTCAATAATTTTACCGAGATTTCTCGGTAAAATTACCAATCCCATTAATGGTAATTTTACCAAGAAAAAACTGGGATCAAATAGAACCCTGAATTTTTGGTAATTTTACCCTTTTCTTAGTAAATACACAGAGATTTTTTTTTCAGTGATAAGTTCTCATTATCCCGTGGGGAAGCTTTTCTTACTGCTGCCTTGAGTAAAACTGCACCCTCGAGTAAAAATGTACCCTCTTTTGTCAATTTCTATACCCCTTAAAACATCATTGAACAAAGTGCGGAACCACTTATCTTCAAAGTGGCGTTTCAAAATTTCCACTTCTGTTTTAATTTTTCATCGAGGATAGTATTTTTTGCTGCCTTCTCTAACATTAAAAGGGCTTTTTTGAATGGTCAAATGTAAACAAAATTTTGCAAAAACTGATGTTGTCGGCCTGGTTCTGGGTAAATCTGTCCAGTTGGTCATCTGAAAATATTACATTTTTCTCCGTTGCTCAACGGGTTTACACGCTCAATTTGAGGGAAAATATGCGAAAATCAACGACGCGAAAAGCCGGCCTTGCTCCACAGAGACCGGGTTTTGTTCCATTCATATCGATGGTCGGTTGGCCAGGAAATGAAGGTTGCGACATTGCAAATTTCAACTCATACTTTGAGCCTATGATCTTTTTTCAGAACTACGAATGGTAATATCTCGTTGATTTTACTGCAGTAAAAAGTGAAATTCCAGGATTTATGGAACGCCCCAAAATTAGAAAAAAGTTCGAAGTATCTCTCGAGAATGATAAACTGACATTCGATTAGATTTACCAACGCACATTTTGCGTGTATTCTTGTTCGTATAGGAATATGATTGTCAAACTATGCTTATTTAGAATGATTTTGACATAAAACTCAGAGGTGATTTGTTAGAATCTGCTGATTAGGAGTTTCAACTTATATCCAGACATGACTAAGAATAGTCTTAAAAAGGATTAAAAAACACTTTTGTCGTTAAATTACGCATTGGTATACCTACGCAGTGGTGCGCAACAGAACATTAATCGGAGTACCTACCACGACATGTCTGAACAGATATAAATACACAGGCGTTCGAAAAGAAGATAAATAAACAAGCACTGAAGTTTCTATCGTCATGCGAGTAAGCAATGATGGCTTCATAATTCTCTGAATGAAATCATTTTTATCCCCCCACGCGTAGTGATAATGAACTTGACGATGAATGTTTATCGTGAATTTTCAAGTATACATACTTTAAAGAAACCCTGCAAGTAAATAGAGCTTTGAAATCATTTTAGTTTTTTTTTTTCGAGGTTGAACTTGAGCTATAATGTGCCAAAAATGTACAAATAATCAGGAACAAGTAAAAATGAACCACTTCAATCTCCTTTTCTTGTCAATCATTTTGCTGTAAATCTTCATTTTTAAGATAAAAAACTAATGCTGTTTTTTGCTTTATTTATTGTTTCAGGTCAGTATTTATCCAACTTTCGGGCGGAAAAAGCCTGCTTTCGTAAGTTTTCATTTCTTTCGTACTAATAATGTATTTTTAAAACTTTTCACAAAAGGACAAGATCTCTAGCAATTACTTACCTCAAGAATCCCGCGCAAAAATCCGCAAAATTTTAGACAGACATTGTGCATGTGCAGTCACATTTTTGTAAATCACTGAATTGTTCGAGTCACCTATGCGCCCTTGGGCAGAAGTTACCTAATACCTACATTCTTTCGTCCGGAGAACGATGAATCCTGCCAATCGAACTAACACGGCGCGGTGATGCAACTATTCGTGTTCGGGGGATGTCCGCGTTGCATACGCGCAAAACTGAAGGCGCAACGGGTATCGCATATCCTAAATAGCCTTGGCCGGATGTCCGCAGCGTGCGTATACGAGTCTCCTGCGAGATATTTTAGTACTGCATTAATTAGAAGGGTCCCTCCTCATCAACATATCTCATCAGGCGGTGCTCTAAAGAAGCAGTAAACCTTTTGCCGGTAAATTGTGAAGGCACATGCCGCACATTGCCCCTTGAAGAAGAATGGCGTCAGCGCCTACGTATTTTTGTATGCAATATGAATAGAATACTATAGTTAAGTTTTTACTTTATCAGCACGATTAAACTTTTGAATACATATGTTTACGACTAAAATTGTTTTTTGTACGTACTTTTCTTTCATACGAATGCTTTTTTAAAGCAAATTGCATCTTGGACATTCGCACCAAGTTTGTGTAGTTGCATTTTTGTTTCCCCTCTTTTTTCACGCAAACCGATAATTGTTGAACCTTCACCTTAATAATTACAAGAAATTTTGAGGTTTCACGAAAATTCCAGGGGACCATTTAACAAACGCGCCGAAGACTTCCACATTTAGACAAGCTTGCATCGCATAAATGAAAGTTTTTCTCCAAGACACAGCTGCGATTCTTACATATTGGCAGACTTTTTTTCCTGTTTTCATCGGTATGTCGCAGAGAAAATCCATTTCAGAAACGTACCACTAAAACTCAGAACAATGGCACCGCTATTGGGCTGCCAAAATTTAAATTCAGACCCCATCTTCAAACGCTTATCGTTCAACGTTCAACAAGGCCCGATCAACGCCCCGATCTTTGAAACCTCTTGTTCATGCGTTGCAAGAATCGTTACACTAATTGCTCAACTATTTTGTCACCAATCATTCCCCTGCGGGTTTGAAAGTTAACCTCCGAAAGTTTGTTTTGCAGAATACGGAAGATAGCCGTGCGGGGTCTCTTCAGAGGCGAATCTTGAACAAAAATTTCCTGAATTTATATGTGTGTAAAACAATCGTTTCTTAGAAAGGCAGCTTACCGCATCTAAAATCGATATTTTTAATGGATTTAAATGGTAACAAAACAGTGTTGCCATCGTGCAAAATCACCGCTAAATACATCGTCTCGAGTATAGGCCTGGATACACGCTCAAATTTCCATCAATTTATGATCAAATGGTGACTGGTGCGCACCATCTACCATCAAATTTTTGCGGCCTGCAAAAATTTGACCGCCATTTTTCACTGGTAAATAAACGCATTGGATCTAGAGTCCAGACTCTTGAAAACATTCACAAGAAAAAATACTCTTGATTCAATCAGATTTAAGCTTAAAGCAAAAGGAAATCCGCTCAAATCAAGAGACTTAGTTCTTGATTTATGCTTAAATTTGATTAAAGCAAGAGTATTTTTTCTTGTCGATGTTTTTAAGAGTCTGTACTCTAGATTCGCCAGTGTTGTCATCATTTTGATCGGAAATTGACGGAAATTTGAGCGTGTATCCAGACCTTATCATATCAGCGCACAGGGAAGCTGGCCGATTCTGATTCAGCGCGAGAAGAGATGAGAGAGAGAGGAATCAAAGAGGAAGCTCGAGGCGAATCTAGGGCGAGGATCACCCGTTGACTGTTGAACAACGAACGACGAACGTGCTGCCTCGGTGCCGCCGATTGACACCGCCGACGGAGCACGTTCAATTGCACATGTTATTGGTGGGCCGGGATGTCGGTGCCCCCCCCCCCCGTCCCCCGTCGGTCGGAAATTTAAATGGGCCGGTGACGGCGCGGTGAGGCGCGGCACGAGCGCGGCGTGGCGTCATCGGTGTAAAGTGTGACGTCATGCTCGGCGACGGCCAGTTGATGACGTCATCACCGTCCGTCTCTTGATGAGCGCTGGCGCGCGCCGCGTCTGCGCATCGTCGCGAGCGTTCGCCGGTGTAAGATCGCTAAAAGTCGAACCGATGACACAAGTCAATAAGCGGTTTTTAAAATCCGTTCGGATCACGTTTTAAGGGTAGGTAGAGAGGGGTAAGTGCACGTGAGAGCTTTTTTAGGCTCTAAAATTCAAAGTGCTCGAAACAAATGTTTGCGTTACTGATTTTGATTTTCAGTATCATTAGTTTAAAATCAAGTTCAAAACTTTGGAAATTTTCCTCCGGTAGCTAAGGTCCCTTTCCACAGATCCGGTCACAATGTATGAAGCATCAAAACTTTTTCGCATACCCACAATAATGAGGAAAGAGCTTGGTCTCTTTTCAGAGATTTTAACGCGGAGTAGAAAAATCGGAAGGGACGAAATGCGTGATACAACTATTTCAACTTCAAAGTAGGTGAAATTGCATATCCTCGAAATGAAGGAGAACATGAACTCCTTTCGAATGACTCGGAGACTTTAACGCATGAGCAGATGAGTTGAATGGGGCGAAACGCGAGATACAACTATTACAACTTCCAAGTAGGCATAATTGCATTTCCACAAAATGAAGGAGAACATGGTGTTCAATATATCACCTCAATCAGTCGGCTCCGCAGATCCAAACTTATAGCTCGAGCAACCGAAAGTTCGGTTCGCATTAAAAGGACTGATGAAAAAAGTTCGATTGGGATAGGAGAAAACGTTGAATTTTAGAAAATGACTGCTTAAGTGTTGAATGTTGTAGAAAATTGATGTTTGAGAGTTGAGTTTTTGAAAGAAATACTGCAATAGCGTTAAATGTGTAAGAGATTTACGGCGAAAGCGTTGAATTTTTAGAAAATTAATGCGGCCGCGTTTTATTTGTGTAATATTACTACGGACGCGCTATATTTTAAAAATTACTATCAATACACAATATCATAGAGCGTATGCTTAGTTCCTGGTTGCTCGAAACTATGCGCAGGCTGATTAACTTTCTGCACCCGTCATTCAAATTTCCTTTTGAAAATATTTAGTACATAGATGTAGACGATTCAAAACGCAGCAGTCAAAATACGTGCTTCCAGAGTTTAGGCATCGATACGTAAGCGTAAGGCCCTCTCCGGCAACGGTTTTAAGGAAGGAGAGCGTGAGTCCTTTCCCTGCAGCTGGCATGCGACACGCGCTCGTGTAACACTGTAACAGCCGCGCATTCCACTTTTACTTTCTTCCACCAGGAAGCACGTAACACATTTCTCGCCGCCACGCGGCAACAACGCATGAGACGAAAGTTTTCGCGGTTGCCAAACCGAGCCATTAATCCTCGCATTTCGTCTCATCACCCAACAAAATTCCGCAGGACCCATTTTCGGGCATGAATCCCTGAGCTCACAAGTTTTGACTCCATAGAAACAATTTGCTGTTTGTGTAGCTTAATAGAAAAGTTTTCTTTTTTTAAAAATTATTCCCATTTGAGAAATTTTTTTGGAGTGAATTTTTTTGTTTATTTTATTTTTTTATTTTTTTTATTTTTCTTTATTTTTTTAACGTTAAAACTTCAAATCGAAATTTTTCGTTGATGTCAATTTCATTTATTTTTGAATGGAGGAAAAATGAAATAATTCTAATTACAACAAATCTGTGCCATGTTCAAACTTAATAAAATTGTTTCAGGTGAAAAAATGTCTTAAATTCAAAGAGGATTCACAAATTATACTTGAAATCCGAGAACATTTTTTTATATACAGAAACTATTCCTTCGGGCACTTTTTTTCCTTTTTTTGGAGTGAAAAAAATTATTCTAATCCATATGAAGATCTGCTTCATTCAATTAAAATTATGCATTTGTCATCGATGACCAAGTTCAATTCTTTTGATTCAAATCTTCAAATTAAAAAGGAAATAATACATTTTTCTTACGGTAAAAGTTAAACTTTTTGAAATTCTCTGAACGTTTTTCAACCGTTTTTCAATTCTAATCCATTTGAAGACCATGTTTACTTCAATTGAATTTTTGCATTTTTCATTGACGACTAAGGTCAATCTATTTGATTCAAATCTCCCTCCAATGAAAAAGGAAAGAAGCAACTATTCCTCAAGTCAAAGTTTAAGTTTTCGAAACACACAGAACGTTTTTCAACCGTTTTTAGCGCTCGGGATTTTGAGCGGGAACGCGGGAGCCAATGGCAACGGGGCAAAGCGCCGAGCCGTGACCGACTGCTCGCCGGGTCTGGAGAAATTGAGTCGTGAACTTACTTTCGTTTCGGAGTAGATCAGTAAGTTACAGCCTGCCGTCGCCCCCCCCCCCTTAGCCGGGGCCCGACGCTCACGTAATATGTATCTGCATTGTGTAATAGTGTGACTATTTCTGCCTTTTTCACTCGCGCCCACCTCCGGAGAGCTTCTTCACGTCGTCGTCTCCCGCGCGCGCCCCGGTGGCCCCTCGTTTCGGCGTCGCACAGTGGATCCAGTCAAATAGAGAGGTCGGACATGACATTTTTTAATAAAACTTCAAATTTTGATGTTAATTTCATCACATTTCAACTTTTAAGGGGTGCCTTTAAAAGAAAATTTCACAAAAAAACCAGTGAAATCACTTTTAGAAACTCAAAGTTGAGTGTAAATAGAGTTATAAGCGTTTAAAGTTTCCACATTTTGTCCGATCTCTCCCATTGTCTCGTTCCATTGTGCGTCGTTGCTTCAGGAGCTTCCCGCACGCGACTCCTTGTATTCGATCATTTCGGCACGGTCTGTACGAAAGTATGGGAACTGCCGTCCTATCAGGAAGAACGCCGTATGAACATTTGAAAGTTGCCAAAGTTCCCTTAT